GATTTATCCTCAATAACTCTTCGTAACAAGAGGACAAACGTGAACGGCGAATTAACGGGTCATTTAACACCTAGGCAATACCGTTACGAACAAGCCTAGTTTATACGAGCCTATTTCTATCGACTCCTCCCCTTTCGGTTCTAAAAGTCGATTGAATTGAACTAGAAGGTGTTTAACCAACTAGTCCATTTAGCATTAACAACATCATGCAAGAACGAATCAAATTCAATCGAAATCAATTGGAAATTGAAGTGTCACCCTTCAACAATTCTCAACTTTCAAGTATGATAATTGAAACCCTATTTAAGAATAACTCGCACAAATTGAACGATCAATGAATCCCAACAATCACATACGAATCCAAAACATTAATCCCCTATCCCTAGCTTACGGATTTAGCTATTCATCATAGATTCAACATCAACATACACATCAATCCAAGCCATCATAATCATAGATAAAACAAAGAAAGAAAGCTTACGATTAAATATGAATCCAATGTCGAAAAGCAATGAACAATCCAAATCCTAAAGCTTACTCTTGGTGTTTTCACATTCCAAGATCAATTCCAAGTGAAACATAAGAGAAAAGTGAGTTTTGGGGTGAAAAAGTACGAGAGAATGATAAAACCTAGAAAGAACATCCCCAAAAACTGATCAAAAATCCGAAATAAAAATCTGCTCGTCGCGACTCCCGCGGCCGCGACTTCCTTCTCCGCGGCTGCGGTGAAGAAATCCCGCGGCCACGACCATCTCCGAGGCCGCAAGCTCATCTGGCCAGTTTTGGGATGTTTTGGGACCCTCGCGGCCCCGACCTCTCCTCTCCGCGGCCGCGGGGAAGGAAACTGGGCAGCTGCGCGCTGCTTTACGTTTCGAGCTCGTTTGGGCTCGTCCGAAATCGGAATTGAGTTCCGTTTTTTGCCATGCATCACCAACGAACCCATCTATCCAGTTATGCTCTCAAAACCAACTTTTCCTGAAGAGAAAATTCGCTCAAAGCTCCTGACCTACACACAAAAAACGACAAAACACAAAAGAAAACCGGAAAAACAAACGAAAAACACCTAAGGACTCAAGATGAAGGAAAACACATAATAAAACACGAAACGGACTAAAAACTAAAGAAACGACCTAAAATGGAGAAAAAGAAAGATAAAATAAACACGAAAAACGCAATAAAAATGAGACAAACATCCGTCCACCCACAGACCAGCTTCCGCCACAGATTTCACCCTCCGCCACTGCACATCCTCTTCTGGTCGGATGACCACTGCGATTTTGGCCGGATGACCACTGTGATTTGGCCGGATGTAGTATCTCTACATCACGTGTTTGCTTGAGTTTTGGGGTTGTTTTTTGTGAGAATTTGATTTATTATTCGGGGCTAATTGCCATTTTTGAGATTTTGTTATATTTTCAATTGAGTACAATTAGGCAAATTGATAATATAATAAAATTTTAATACATACACAATAATACATAAAATGCACTATATTAATTTTTTATACTTCAATAGAAAATCATAGCTTAATATTTTTATACAAAAATATAAAATATAATATTTTTAATATAATTTGGTTTTTACTTTAGTTATTTAAATAAAAAATTGATATCGTACCAAAATACTTGATTTATAAAAAAAAATACTAATAATAATTGAAACAATATATAAATTTTCGTACCGAGTTTATGTTCGTTGGATCTCGCTCAATTTTGTGCAATCTGGTAGACGTTTATGTGCAATTAGTATAACCATGATGTGCACTCGCAGTACATACAAAAGTATATATAAATCATATTATTTTTTTCTTATTAAAAAAATATAATTGAAAAAGAATTGGTAATAATTTTTCATATAGTTCAGCATGTTTAGTTATTTTGATTATTTAAAAATACTAAAAATACGAATATTATTCAATTGATTAGCAGAATTACCGGGTTTTTTGGTACGCATAGCATGTTGCTTTATAAAGTGTAACATGTCGTGTTATAAAGTGCAATGTATGTATGTATAAAGTGCAACGCATTGATATATAAAATGCAATTATGTAGATCCGATTGTTAGATTTATATCACGTAATATTTTTGGCAGTAGATGTTGAGATTAATTGCGGAATGCGTTGGTAAAGTGCAACGTGTCGGCTTATAAAGTGCAACGTGTTCTTTTATAAAGTGTAACTTTTTTATGTATAAAGTGAACTACTGTAATTTTGGTACGTTAGGTATGTTTGCGGTTCGTATGTATAAACTGTAACGCCTCACTTTTATTTGCCGAAAATCAGAATATATTTTTCAAAATTTAATTCAAACATTTAAGGCGTTACTCATTTATTTCAAAATCATTTCAACATTTACCAATCATCAAACTCCCAAACAGGGATCCCCAAATTTTATCAATCACCCAAACAGGGTTCAATCCATCAACATGGTACTTAAGGAGCATTCTCCTTAATATTTTTCTAATCATCAATAATATCCAAAATTCCTTAAATCCATAAATCATAAATTCCATAATATCCCAAGTTCATAAATCATGATATAAGTCATAAAATTCATAAGTGGTACAAATAGCGGAAGCATAACAATAATTAACCGGTCTTATGGACCGACCACCACTCGCTCTACTCCGCCGTCGTACCTGCCTTGCTTAACCTGGAACGTTAATTTCAGGTGGGGATGAGCACAGTTGGAAAAAGTAGTGCTCACCACTATGCAATAAACATTTACCAAACAAAACAGTAACAGAGGTAGCATGATCACAGCATGTACAAGAATTAATTAAGTATCCCAGGTTTTATCATAAATTCACAGTGTTCAGACTCATGTGCACATCTATACCAATAGACTACTGCTGGTCCACGTATCGCATGCCTGCTTAGGCCTTACGTATCGTATGCCTGCTTAGGCCTTACAGATCATATGGCTGCTTAGGCCTTATGACACTACGTTTATGCCCCTCGGGCTTATACACCGAATGCCCCTCGGGCTTTTATCGGTGCCCAGTCAGTAGGAGTAACCCCTCGGGTTTTTATTTCATAAATACGGGACAACCGTTCGACGGCCGGTACAGCTCACATCGAAGGCTTGATCATATACGAGTAAAGTAAACAATTTATTGCATAGACGATGTTAGAATAACAACCCACCTGGTCGCGGATAGGAGATAACACGAAAGCACGAATAAGCTGCGAGCTCGGCTCATCAAACACCTACATGAAGTCCAGATGTTATAATCAACATCTACTTTGACTTAAACAGAAATCACAATCATACTTAGCCGAACTTGAATCGACTAAATTGTTTGTGAAGTCATGTGGATGTTGGAACACTTAGACTCGACTCCAAGACTCAACCAATTACACATGGGAGTTCACATAAACCAAAACAAGGATTGACCAAGTCAAACACTCAGCTAAACAGATGGCGAATCGATTTACAGTTTTTATTGCAAAAGCCGTATTTTTGAAAATACTAGATTTTAATCACCAAAATAAGTTGGTCAGGTTATCAACTGAGTTTAACTCTGAATTTTAACCAAAATTTCACCTCCTAAAATTAAGCAAGACCACCAATTTTCAGCCCCAAACTCAAAGTGTGCTATTTTAAAAAATTCGAGCAAGTTTATGGCAAAAACGATCATAAATTAGCAACCCGGTAAAATGAATCAATTAACCTATGAAATTTTTATCTAAGGAACCCCAGCATGTACGTAGAAATGTGTAAAAATATTAGCCCTAAACTCCTAACATGCGATTTATTAAAATTGCGACAACATTTAGCTGTTTTAGAATTTTCAACATAACTGAACCTCAATGAACTAAAAAAATTCTAATATTTACACAGCATGAAATATACCACAAAACATGCACTTCAACCAAAAATCATAATTTTTTATTATCAGAAACATTTTTAAAAATTAAAAAACTTTCTGGCAGAAAAACATAATAAATTATTTACCCAAGCTAACAGAATTCAAAAATTATGAAAATTTAACATAACCTCTAATACAGACAGGAGAACATTGTGTTCGAATTTCAGAAATTTTTGAGTACTACACAATTAATTATGCAATTAACATGAAACTGACCAGAAATCATTCTAATTGATTAAAATAGCTACAGACCTCTTAAAATCATGAAATTTACTCACCAGCTACATTTTCAACAGAGGCAATTACCCCCAGAATTTCAAGGAATACGGACCAGCGAGCAATTTATGATGAATTTAATATGAAATCAGCCACTATTCAATTTCGATAATTCATGTAAGACTCGATTCACGACGAAATCCATTTTTTTGGATTTATGGTGTGTGGTAGTTTGCGCGAAAGCATAATTGTGGAGTGTGATAATAAAGTGCAATATGGTATTTTATAAAGTGCGAAGTATTGTTTTATCAAGTGCAACTTAATTATATATAAAATGCACTACGTTATATAATCCCATATAAATTATGTGTTTTTGAAAACTAAATTTAGTAAATATAATTGTACATCAAATTAACCTAAATACTTGAAATACTTTATTATCTATTATTATAATAGTATATTTATTATTTTAATATTTCTTTATATATTAAAACTTTTAAACATTGTACAATTTATTTATCGTGAATATGAATTTATGTCAATATTACAATAAATTACATGTTTGGTCATTAACTAAACTTAAAAATACTCGAAATTAATAAAATTGCAAAATTGTACATCAACACCATCTAATTTTTTTACAACAAAAAAAAAAAAAGCAAATGAAGCCCCAAAATCCTAATTTACAACTTTACTGAACATTAGTAAAGTTTCTGCAAATTACAAATTTAACCCAGGGACTAAATTGACATATAATAAAAATTTATGAATTTGCAATCAAGTCCCTAGGTACTATCTAATTCTAAAAATGTTGCCCTTTGAAATATCTATTTCTCATAATCCCGAAAATCACGCTGTGCATTAGTTCCTTCTTCTCCAACCATTGCTATCAGATCTTTTGTGGTTGTTATCAGTTTTCCGGCGTCGGGACGGGCATAAGTGGCTATGGGAAGGACGGAGACGTCGTCGGCGCGTCATCCTCGTCAAACAGTGACGGGCAGCGTAACTTTCGCGACGGCAAGGCGAGCGGCGGCTGTTGGCGGCGAGATGGAGCGGTGGCTGTTGGCGTGGCTGAGTGTTGCGCTAGTGTGAAGTGCCGGTCGAAGGCGACTGGTGGTGGCTAAGGGCTGTGCGCAACGGCTCTTCGATGGGACGACGGCGGTGGCTCTCCGACGGGACGACGACGGCGACTCTCCGATGGGACGACGGTGGAAGGCTGTGCATCTTCATGGTTGGCGGTTGCGGCGGCGCTCCATGAGTGGCCGATGGCTGGCGTGCACCCCGTCGGCGTGTCTGTATGCATCCCCGTGAAGTGTGTGTGTGTGTGTGTGTTTGGCTTTTTTTGAACTATTAGATCATCTGATCCGATGGCTACGATTTATTCTTATTCTTATTAAAATTGCGACAACATTTAGCTGTTTTAGAATTTTCAACATAACTGAACCTCAATGAACTCCAAAAATTCTAATATTTACACAGCATGAAATATACCACAAAACATGCACTTCAACCAAAAATCATAATTTTTTATTATCAGAAACATTTTTAAAAATTAAAAAATTTCTGGCAGAAAAACATAATAAATTATTTACCCAAGCTAACAGAATTTAAAAATTATGAAAATTTAACATAACCTCTAATACAGTCAGGAGAACATTGTATTCGAATTTCAGAAATTTTCGAGTACTACACAATTAATTATGCAATTAACATGAAACTGACCAGAAATCATTCTAATTGATTAAAATAGCTACAGACCTCTTAAAATCATGAAATTTACTCACCAGCTACATTTTCAACAGAGGCAATTACCCCCAGAATTTCAAGGAATACGGACCAACGAGCAATTTATGATGAATTTAATATGAAATCAGCCACTATTCAATTTCGATAATTCATGTAAGACTCGATTCACGACGAAATCCATTTTTTTGGATTTATGGTGTGTGGTAGTTTGCGCGAAAGCTTAATTGTGGAGTGTGATAATAAAGTGCAATATGGTATTTTATAAAGTGCGAAGTATTGTTTTATCAAGTGCAACTTAATTATATATAAAATGCACTACTTTATATAATCCCATATAAATTATGTGTTTTTGAAAACTAAATTTAGTAAATATAATTGTACATCAAATTAACCTAAATACTTGAAATACTTTATTATCTATTATTATAAAAGTATATTTATTATTTTAATATTTCTTTATATATTAAAACTTTTAAACATTGTACAATTTATTTATCGTGAATATGAATTTATGTCAATATTACAATAAATTACATGTTTGGTCATTAACTAAATTTAAAAATACTCGAAATTAATAAAATTGCAAAATTGTACATCAACACCATCTAATTTTTTTACAACAAAAAAAAAAAAAAAAGCAAATGAAGCCCCAAAATCCTAATTTACAACTTTACTGAACATTATTAAAGTTTCTGCAAATTACAAATTTAACCCAGGGACTAAATTGACATATAATAAAAATTTATGAATTTGCAATCAAGTCCCTAGGTACTATCTAATTCTAAAAATGTTGCCCTTTGAAATATCTATTTCTCAAAATCCTGAAAATCACGCAGTGCATTAATTCCTTCTTCTCTAACCATTGCTATCAGATCTTTTGTGGTTGTTATCAGTTTTCCGGCGTCGGGACGGGCATAAGTGGCTATGGGAAAGACGGAGACGTCGTCGGCGTGTCATCCTCGTCAAACAGTGACGGGCAGAGTAACTGTCGCGACGGCAAGGCGAGCGGTGGCTGTTGGCGGCGAGATGGAGCGGTGGCTGTTGGCGTGGCTGAGTGTTGCGCTAGTGTGAGGTGCCGGTCGAAGGCGACTGGTGGTGGCTAAGGACTGTGCGCAACGGCTCTTCGATGGGACAACGGCGGTGGCTCTTTGACGGGACGACGACGGCGACTCTCCGATGGGACGACGGTGGAAGGCTGTGCATCTTCATGGTTGGCGGTTGCGGCGGCGCTCCATGAGTGGCCGATGGCTGGCGTGCACCCCGTCGGCGTGTCTGTATGCATCCCCGTGAAGTGTGTGTGTGTGTGTGTGTGTGTGTGTGTGTGTGTGTGTGTGTTTGGCTTTTTTTGAACTATTAGATCATCTGATCTGATGGCTACGATTTATTCTTATTTCTTTCATTGAGCACCTTTCTCACTGGAGCGCGATCCTATACACACACACACACATATATATATATATATGTATGTGTGTGTGTGTGTGTGTGTGGTGGGTTTTAATAGTACCCCTTCTTATAATGATAATATGGACACTAACCACATCAACTGATTTGTATAAATTCAACGACTTCTATAAATATATTCGAATTAAGTTATTTCCCCGTTTAGAAGTGAGGTGATGTCACCGGTGGCGACGCCCATTGTCAATTTCTAAATTGCACATTTAGTTTCTACATAATACATATTTGATTAAAATCAATTGCATATTATGATTTATTAACTTCATAACTAAATATTTTGATGCACCCGCCTACATACTTCCTGCAGATGCACGTGGTGAAGGTGATCCCTAGGTAGGATTGCAAACGAGTCGAGTAGAGTCAAGCATGGACCTTGATGAGTGTAGGTCGATTTTTTTTTCAGTGCTCGGGCTCGAGAGGCCATTTAACATAGTGCTCTACTCGACCCGTGAAAAAATAAGAATGCTCGAGCTCGACTCGATGCTTGACATGGCTCAAGTTCGATTCGAAATTTTAACAACTAAATTTTATATATAAGGTACTATTTTTACTATAGCCAATTTTAGCCTTAGTGATCTAATATTGATAATTAAACTATATGCAATATTTATGTAAATAAAAAGTCGAGCAGTTTGTCGAGCCTACGTGCCTCTTAAAATGATACTCGAGGCTTGACTCATTTGCTCGATTGAACTACTCGAGATCGACTCGAGCTCATATTTGACCGAGATAAGTTGGGCATTGACTCGAGCGCTCACGAGCGGCTCGTGAGTCGCTTGCCTTTTTTTTTTAACTGGTTTTCACCATAAAAGAGTCAAATCAAACTTCAAATTCTGCAACACAATCAAAACCATATGGTTTTTGTAGTAGCATTAGATGCTCCAAAGAAGTCAACATAATACCATTTACTTTACAAAAATCTCACTATTAGTACCAACTACCAAGGCCAAGAAAGTCAATAGCACAAATGCATATATTGGACATCAAAGGTGTCTTTATCATATCATCCCATGGCATATTTTTGAGTCCAGCTACGAGCAGTGGACTTATACTTGGCCTTGTCAACAAGCGGATCATCAGGATTTAGATCAGTCAGCAATGAACAAATTGAAAGCAAGACCTTTGAGATGGCAAGTGCAGGGCTCCACTGTTCCTTGAGAATATCAAGGCATATGCTTCCATTACTATTGATATTAGGATGGAAAACCTTGGTCTTGAAAGCGACCTTAGGTGGCTTGAGTGGGGGGGACTAGATGATATGGGATATTATACGACTAAGGAGCAGACCACTCCACCGCACCGGTTGGGCAAGCAAGAGGTGGAGAAAACCACATTGGTTGAAGGATGATTGACCAAAAGGGAAGAGATCGAGCAGAATGGCAGAGTTGGTCGAGGATCGACCTAAGAAGGGGGAGCTCGATCAGATCGAGCACGTAGCAGGTAGAGAGCAGTCGGAAGCGTGGCTAGGAGATCCCAACAGCCTGCGCAGAGGAATAATTCCCCTCAGTTCAAAGGGACACGTGGAAAGAATACATTGGTGCAGAGCGATAGTGGCAACAGCCACCTCTGACATCTCTGACAATACGCACACTATGTGTGTACAGACGGGCAGTGCAGGCAGGACAGCTCACCAAAATCCGGGCAGCTTCTAGGGCAGGTATCTCACTCCTATATATATAGGAGTGGGTCTTTTCTTGTGACTTACGATTTATCCATTCTTTACTTTGGAAAATTGGAAAAACACATACTGACTTAAGCATCGGAGGCTCTTCACCGGAAAACCCCTCCGGTGTGAGAGTTCTGTGCAGGAACGCGGCGTTCTACCGGCGAGGAAGAAGGAGGCAAGCTAATTTCAAGCTGGTCGGAGTGTTTTGCGTTACCATTTGGCGCCGTCTGTGGGACTTTCGTTCGAAAAATGGTGTGCTGATATTTCCGAAGCTCGGTGGCTATGGCGGACGGAATTCCTAGGAGAGATTTGCAAGCATCGTTCGACAATGCGTGGACGATGACGAGGCCCGTTCCCCAAGGTGTAGGAGTCACGCCGGTGCAACCAGAGGCTGAAGTGGGCTCAAGCCAGGCCCAGGAGATTCATACAGCTCAAGGAGCGGCGACCCCAACGCCGCTGCAACCAGATCTGGCCGTGACGCTGCAGCAAGGAGCGGCGGTGCAGGGAGCACTACCACCGCAAGTGGAGGAGCCGCGCCCCGGCCAGCAGGTGGTGATGACTAGGCAGGAGATGCAACAAATGGTGGCGAACGCGGCGGCACAAGCGGTTTAGCAGGTCACTCAAAGCCTTTCGCGAGTGGCTGCTGGACCAATAATGGTGGATGAGGACGTGTCTAGCTATGGAGGAGATGGAGCCCCGCGAGATCGTGAGGTGGAGAGGCTCGCGGAGCAAGTGAGGCAAATGCAGGCTAAGATGGATGGTCGACCTGAAAGGCGTGCTCGAGGACATCCGTTCTCGAGGGATATATTGGTTGCACCACTACCTGCGAATTTTAGAGACATGAGTTTGATGTTCGACGGGACCACTGACCCGTCGAGGCATGTAAGGGCGCTCCCTCATGGATCGATCAAGGACTTTGACGATTTCGCGGAAAAGCTGATGACCCAGTATGCGAGTGCGGTGGCGCAGGAGAAAACGTATTTGACGTTGATGGCCATGAGGCAAGGGGAGAAAGAATCGTTGCGCAAGTATGTTGCGCGATACAATCAAACTTGTTTGGAGATCCCCACGGCCTCGGACAAGGTGAAGGCTGGGGGGTTGATACGGAGTTTGCGAGCAGGGCCCTGTCGAACATCTTTAGCCAAAACCCCTGCTCGTACGTATGATGATGTGCTGAAAAGGTGTAAGAAATATATTAATTTGGAAGAGACGGAGGCGGAGTTCGCTAAGTTGGAGGAGTTGGCTAGACCGGAGCCGAAGATAGGAAGGACGAGCTCACCTCGAAAGGCGTCACCAGGTAGGAGATCGCCCAGGAGAGAGGGGCGTGGCAGGGTTGATCGAGGGCGAGAGGACCGGTGGAAAGATCGACCAGTGTTTGGAGGGAAGCGGTTCCAGAATTTTACACCCCTTAATGCAAAGATGGGGGAGGTGCTGGTGGCTATTGAGAAGAAGATCGAGAATAAGGATGTGACGTGGCCGAAGTCGAGGCGTGAGGGCCCAACGCAGCCTAGGTCGGGGAAGTATTGTCGTTTTTATAAAGATTATGGGCATACAACGAGGATGAGATCGAGCGCCTTATTAGGGCAGGGTACCTTAAGGAGTTAGTGTATGAAGACAAGGCGAAGGGGAAGAGAGGGACGATCTATATGATTTCGGGGGGCCCGACTGATGGGGACTCGAACAATGCAAGGAAAGGCCATGTTTGAGCGGTGAAAAGAAAGAGAGAGGAGGTGGGGATCACTGCTCGAATGCTGGTGATAAGTTTCCGAGCAGAGGATGCAGAGGGAGTAGTGCTGCCCCACAATGATGCGTTAGTGATAACGGCGGAGGTGGCCGGTTTCGATGTGAAGAGGGTGTTCATCGATACCGGGAGCTCGGTGGACGTAATGTTTTATGATTGTTTTGTGCAGATAAATAAGGAGCTCAACCTTGACTTGAAGCCGGTGGCAACTGCCCTGTATGGATTCAACGGAGGCGAGGTGATGCCAATGGGAGAGGTGAGCCTATCTGTGGCGTTGGGGCAAGGAGCAACGAGGAAGGTGAGAATGGTGAGGTTTGTGGTCGTTGGAGCAGAGTCATCATATAACATTATCATGGGAAGGACCAGTTTGAATGCATTCCAGGCGGTCGTGTCGACGTACCACATGACGATCAAATATATGGTGGGGGAAAGCGTTGGTGAGGTCGCGGGAGATCAGCTTACCTCGAGGAGTTGCTATCAAACCACGGTGAGCAATAATAAGCAGCTCTCGCGGAAGCAAGCGAAGCTTGAAGAGGGAGTGTTGAACCGACCTGGGGGCTCAAGGTCGAGAGAAGAGACGGAGAGAACAAATAAGGGGAAGGAGAAGGTGGAGATGCAGCCAGGAGGGGAGATCGAGGAGGTTCAGATGGTAGAAGGTTGCGAGGAGAGGAAGTTTCGGATAGGAAAAGAGATCGGGGAGCCCATAAGGTCGAAATTGATCGGATTGATCAGGGAGTTCGCGGATGTTTTCGCGTATACGGCTGAGGAGTTGACAGGGATAAAAGCGGAGGTGATCGAACATCGTTTGAATATTGACCTAACGGTGAGCCCGGTGAAGCAAAAGAGGAGACACCATGGCGCGGAAATGGACAAGGTGATCGAGCAGGAGGTTGAGAAGTTGTTGAAGGCAGGCCATGTTAAGGAGATCCAGTTCCCCGAATGGTTGTCGAACACGGTGATGGTGTCTAAGTCTGGGGGGAAGTGGAGGATGTGTATTGATTTTCGAGACTTAAACAAGGCGTGTCCAAAAGATTTGTATCCACTGCCCAGGATTGACCAGCTGGTCGATTCTACAGCAGGTTGTGAACTACTCATCCTTATGGATGCATCCCAGGGGTATCACCAAATCCCTTTGGCCCGGGAGGATAGGAAGAGGGTGAGCTTTGTTACGAGCAGAGGCACTTATTGTTATGTGGTGATGCCTTTTGGTTTGAAGAACGTGGGTGCAACTTATCAGCGGTTGGTCGATAAAATCTTCAAGGAACAGCTCGGGAGGAATATGGAGGTGTATGTCGATGATATGCTAGTGAAGAGTAAGGTGGAGGCCGATCATGTGAATGACTTGAAGGAAACGTTCTTGACTTTGAGAAGATATGGCATGAAACTGAACCCTGCTAAGTGTTCATTTG